CTCAGCCGCAGATTCTCCCTGGCGCCCCCCATATAAAAATGGGGAGTTTACAAAGCAATGCAACTGATACAACTGAGCAACGTACCGCAATAATAAATAACAAATTACTGTTCATCGTCATGACAACCGATTAATAGGCTATATAGGTCGGTAAGTGTCGGTGACAAAAAGCCGATTAATAGGCTATCGGTCGGTAGGTGTCGGCGACAAAAAGCCGATTAATAGGCTATCGGTCGATAAAGCGTTAACACTAGAACTATCAAAGCAGTCAAAATGATTTGTTTTAGAATTTTTATTCGTACAATTGCTGAGGTTCTGCATTTGCTTATGGCAAAATTGATATCGAGTTTTAATCGATTGTGATCGTAATCACGTATCCTCTCTTACCCTCATTGTACTGCTTTAATTATCGTCAATAATGTATATGATATTTAGGTACTCATTACAGATCGGAAGTTCTAGCGTTAAACGGTGATCGACACCCGATAACTGGGCGACAGCGAGTCGCAAGGCATTGTCAAGAGCCAAAGTTTCCCCGACCATGAAGAACTCTCTTCGAGACCGTTCGCAGTGCCTAGTTCCTAGTCTAAATTGTACGCTAGTACAATAGCGATGAATTAATTATCTACTGCGATCCCATAATCCTCAGTTTACCAAGTGCAATAGAACTAATATATCAGACAGAACTAATATATGAGTCTATGAATAAAAAAGTACAATATTGCCAGCAAATTTTGTAAAATCAACAGCACACTTTTCTATGAAACGCAAAGAACTCTCGAAATTATAGGGGAATTACTATACGAATATCTAAAATTCATATCTCGATGTCACGGTAGAGCGCGGTGATAAATAAATATGTTTAAATAATACTTAAATGTTACATTTTGCATCACCTTCAAATTCTTCGGATGTTATTAAACAACATATAAATATTACCATATTTGGGAATGCCTTACATTCATAACAGCAAAAGCCTTCAGAATTCATAAACAATTGCGTTTATTTCTTAACAATTTGATATTGTAAAGTCATTTGTATTTATGTATCGAATAATGAAATAGTTTTAAAGTAAAAATGATTCGAAAAAATTTGTTATAATTCTACAATTAGTAAAAAATAGCATATAAAACATATAAATGTTATACATATAACAAATGAGATTTATCGAACGACGCTTTTGTACACATGATTACTGTTATGACAAAATTAAATAAACCAACAATAGCTACGTGGTTGTGAAACCCCAGTTCGCGTTCCTGCCAACATCGAAGATCATCCCGATATTTTCTTTGGATGGTTTTTTCATCGGATCTACAGAATACGATAGTATACAGAAAATTCCTGCTAGATAACAAACTTATTGTAAAAATGTAAGAATAGCGCGTAGAATCAATCGCAATTATTCAAAAGCACAAATAATTATAATTATAGATATCGATTAATTCGCAAAACTCCGACCTAACTTTTAAAATGAAAAAAGAACCTCTTAACTCTTTCACTTTTCGCGTAATTTTTCATTTTATCCAAAAACTCAGGCCTGTTTAGAAAAACTCAGATTTTTCGCAAACTGAAGGTGCTAAAACTATTTCGTTATGAATTCGTTTTGAGCAATGTACATAAACTCTACATGAGTTATCTAATATGTATTAAAGGTTAAAAGAAGATTTCGAAACTGGGAATAAGAATATAACCATCAGGTAAATTATTCTCCAATTCTTTCGATACGCACAGAAGACGATCAACATAAGACCGTATTAAATATCTGCGACCTCATGGTTATATATACGTATTTGTAGCATACATTACATTAATCCATGTACATATTGTAGTATCGCAGAATTTCCACCTCGTGTATAGGTGACTTTAGTTTGGAAGGTCGC